AATTGATTACTCTTTTTGTTAATTCTAAAATATAACATGTGGCACAATATCATTGATCAGGTGACTTGTGATTTAGTATATTAAAAATATATATAGGTCTCATCGTATTCAAAGCATCATCGAAAACATTGATTTTGGACCATCTCGTGTAATTTTTATTCGTTTTTGGCTCATATTCTTTGCAAATTTTCCTTTGGTAAAGTTTATTTTGCATTATTTTTTTAAAATATTTAGTAAATATATCGTAATGTTTTAAATGTGTTACAGACTTAAAGCTCAATTATTTTGCTTAAGAAATCATTGTTCGTATAACTATGTATTTTTAGTCAAAAAAACTCATAAAGATCCCTAATAAGTTTACATGAAATCAGGGGAGAGGGAAAAAGTAATTGAGTACAGTCCTCCCTTTTTGCTTTATTGAAATATATAAACATATCTGATTAAAAAACTGCTCTTTAGTCAAAAAAGATATGATAGCTCCTCGTGTAAAACACATTATTTGTTCATTGTTATAATAAAAATGTTGGATATGATTTGATTTATCCATAAACTTTAGGCATGTAAATTATGGTGGGATGCATGTGCAAAATACAGCGGAAAGTTTACTTAATTTATCATTTCAGTTAATTAAAAACTAGAAATGATCAGTCTATTGGTTTTGACATTCACATTATAGTATACATGACTTCTATATCCTTTGTTCATAACTTACATGAGCAAAGCTTCCGAACTTGAAACTTGTATGCTACAATGTAGAAAACTATACGAATCACTAAATTAGAAGCTCAAGGCACTTACATAAATGATATTACATTTTTACACTGTTATGTGATTTAAAGCGGTATAAGACCGTGTGATTTAAATTGGTAACCTAAAACGGTATAATTTTTTTTTAGTTGTAAGCGTTATATGCAAAGTTGTAAAATAGTTGTATACAATAAAATTGAGTGTAATATTTTTGGTATTGTTTTTGTGATTAGTACAATACTACGATCTAAAACGTTATAAATTGAAAAATGGTTGTACTAATTAAGATTGTTACCAATCTAAACTGTTACTACTTGTTACTGTTTAATCCGCTGTAATCACATATTATTCACGAAAATGATTGAAACCTTCTAAAGCCGTAACGGACAAACAGTAA